TTCCCGGGCCCCCAGCCTGAAGCAGGGCCTTGCGCTCCGGTCCCCGCCGCCTCGGCGCTGGGGTCCCTGCCGCCACATCCATGCGCCCCTCGTTTCTCCCCACCCGCCGTCAGGGGCGCGGGGGCAGGCGTTCAGCTCCCCCGGGCCCTCGGGTCACTGCATTAGCGACGCGCTTCATCACCCGTTTAGAGAGTTGGACATGCTTAGGAGCAGCTACTTTTCTAGATGTTAGATTTCTGGGGCGGTGTACAGAGCAGTTCGAAACCCGGAGACTTGGCCCGGTTGCTTTTGCGAGAAAACAGGAAAGGGCTGGGTGCGCTATGATTTAGCCCGAGGCTCTTCAAACACCCATCTTGTTCCCACGCATGGCTTCTGCCATTGGTTTTCTCCCCCAGCACCCTGAAACGACAGAAAAAAGCAATTCGATTCCAGAAAATTCGGAGGCAAATGGAGGCTCCAGGGGCCCCACCCAGAACCCTGACTTGGGAAGCCATGGAGCAGATTCGGTAAGGATTATGGTTACGTTGTTCACTGTGATGACAAATGAATACCCGGGCCAGGAACATGGATTTGACTTTTTTAGTATATTTTAAATTGTTTTCTTTTTTTAATCACTGACATTCCCTAACAAAAGTAGAGTAGTAATAATGAGTTTCCATATAAGCCTGTAATCTTTATTTAATTTTTTAAATTAAAAAACTTTTTTTTAGGTTTTTGTTATAGGCTGCGTGTGTTCACTGGAGAGAGACAGCCAGTGAAAGGGAAATTGAGAAATCACCCCCCCCCCCAAGAGGGATGGCCACCCTATAATCCCTTTTCCATTCTCTTTGAATTTTGGGCATGCTCAGCATGTGCCTGGCATGGTTTTCTAGCCATTGGATCTGGGACTCAAACTATGGTCAGCCATATGGGAGTCCAACACCTTAACCATTGTGCCACCTGCTGTCCCCTACACTTAATAGTTTTAAGCTTGATGCTACAATTGGCTCACTTTTCCTGAAGTTTTTGAACAGTACATGAATTGCAGGCATCACAACATTTAACCTATAAATATTGAGTCAACAGAAAAGTCATGATACGGATTTTTACATTGAAAAACAGAAAAATACAGCATGACTTTTCTGATGACCCAATAGTTGATCATGATGGTTTCTCTTTCTTTCTCTCTCTTTTTAATAGATATTTGCAGAGATAGAGCCAAAAAAATCATCCCCTAGTGGGGATGACTATGCCACAATCCCTTCTCCACCAGTCTCCCCTTAGGATTTTAGGCACATATGCATACATGCCCAGCATGAGTTTTAAGCCACTGGTCCAGTTGAACTGGGGTTGACCACATGGGAGTCCAGTGTCTTCACCACCACGCTGCCCACTTCACCCTGATTATGATATCAGGCTGCCATGTCAAGACCACAAACTATGCAGTTGGCCATGTGGGATCCAGCTGCCTTAAATTCTGCTCCATCTGCTGGCCCATGAACTCCAGACTCGTAAGCATGACATGCTCTTGTTTACTGTCAGTTGAATTATTGGTGCCCACTCTACCATCAGTGCCTTTGCTACCTCTCCTCCCTGTGCCAGCTTATTGCTCCTTTCATCCTTTTAGACCAGCTCTTGTTGGACTGAAATAATTCCCTGCCAAGCTGTAAGTGGTGTGATTGTCTGTCCCTCGGTCTCTCTCTCAGGTGCTCTTACATCATTCTCTGCTGTAACCTGACAGTGTCATTGTATAGTGTTACCATTATGTCTGTCTCCACTACCAAACTGCATCTTCTTGGTATGGAAGGTCAGTCTTACACCCCTAGGATCTAAACTGGGTATTGCATGGCAGTGGGAGGAGTTCAGTTGATATGAAATGAGGTGATTTGATTGAGAGTGGTCAGGCGTTGCTGTTGGCATACAGGAATGGAACACAGCCATTTAGCTGGCACAAGGTAGGGACTTTGTTTGCAGTGTTTCCAAGGCCTGTTTTCACTTATTTCGTACTGGAATTATCAGTCAGCTTTTACTGATAGATGTATTCACAACTTGAAAACCTCCTTTTTCCCATAGGTATTTACATAAGGAATTTGCAGATTCCTGGTCAATTCCCAGGTTGGCTGAAGGCTTTGATGTCAACACTGATGTGATCCGAAGGGTTTTAAAAAGTAAGTTTGTACCCACATTGGAGCAGAAACTGAAGCAGGATCAAAAAGTCTTGAAGAAAGCAGGGCTTACCTGCTCACACTGGCAGCTGCAGGGTGCTGGAGCTAACCTGAAGCCACTCTCTGATAGAGGCCATTCAGTGTCAGGCTCTTTGCTGATGCCAGGGGGCAAAGACTCATCTGCAGGGCAGATTGACCCCGCAGCTTTGAAGGTGATAGAGTCAAATGCTTACAGTACAGATTCACCTAGAAAACAGAAAAGAAGGAATAAAGGAATCCAGGGCTTGGAAAAGGAGAGTTTCGTGCCTGTTGTTGCTGCTATGGGTCAACAGAGAGAGCTGCGCAAGTACTCCAACCTTGACTCTGAAGGCACTGGAAGAACTGGCAGGGATGGATTCCCAAGTGACAAGAAGCCAGAAGAGTTGAAGGTGGGGGAATCGGAACACCAGAACTTCAGCAGCAAAGTTGTGCAGAGGGAACGCGAGTTCTTTGACAGCAATGGGAACTTTTTGTACAGAATTTGAACCAGGACCTGGCTTGGGGAGATGTAAACAGCAGAGCATGTATGAAGAGGTCTTCAAAAAGTTTATGAGAAATGAGTATTAGGAAATGTGTATGCGGGACTAGCAGTTGGTGTAATGGCTATGTTGCTGGACTCTCATGTAGTCGACCATGGTTCAAGTCCCAGACCCGGTGGCTTAAACTCAATGCTGGACACGTGTGTGTGTGCTCAAAATCCCGAGAGGAGAAAGGAGGAGAAGGGATTGTGGCATGGCCATCTCCCCTGGGGCGGGGGGGATTTCTCACTTTCTGTCTCTCTGTCTGTCTCTGTCTCTTTCTGGTGAGCACACACGCCCTATAGCAAAAACCTCTCCAAAAAATAAAAAGAAAAAGAAAGAAAAAGGAAATGTGTATGCATGGATTTAAAATGTTTTTGGTCCAAAATAAACTTATACTTTAATTCCATTTTTCCACCAACTTTTTGAGGTTCCCTGTATAGTTGGAGCTCCCTGCATTTCTGTGCTTGCATTGCCACCTTGGAATAGGGGGAGATGATGGACTGGGAATGTGGAGGAAAGATCTACTTAGACTCAAACTTCTGGAGCTCTGCTCTTTGACCCCTGAAGATCATCAACACTCACCCCTCTCGGATTCTCTGTATTTTGTTGTGTGTTGTTGCAAGTTTCTATAATATTTGCAGAATATGCTTGGGGGAAGTACAAAGCTTGCCTTTGACCTCTTTCCTTCTTGATCAATGAACACTAACAGTTCTGAAACTGCTTAGTCAATTGGTTGTTTTCCTTATGTACAAAATAAAGTAACAGTCTGTATTGCTTGGTGCTCTTTGGTATAGGATTTTACTTGTAAGCCTTGATGAGGGAAGGAGAGAGGGAAGAGTTTTGCGTGTTGCTCAGCGATGACTTTTGTTCTGTTTTGTTTGGAAATAGGGTCTTGCTAGGTTGCCCAGAATGGCCTTGAACTTCCTTATGCTTCAGCCTCCTGAGTAACTAGGATTAGCTAACTCACCCTGCGCCTGGCTGACCTAGTGATGGATTTTGACAACCAAAAACTGGATGTCTTTTAGTTGCTGGAAGTGGAAATTTTTTTGTTTTGTTTTAGCATTTTTAAAAAGAACTATTTATTTAACTTTATTCTTTTTTTTTTTTTTAAAACCTTCATTTGACCAAAGAGAGAAACAGAAGGAAAGTGAGAAAGCAAGCCACCAGGTCCAGGACTCCAACTGTGCTCGGCCGTGTGGGAGTGTCCAGCACCTTAACTACCATGCCACCTGCTGACTCCTTTTTTTTTTTTTTTTTTTAACATTTTTGCCATAGGGTGTGTACGCTCGCAGGAAAGAGAGGAAGAGAGAAATTACGCCCACCAGAGGTGACTTTGCCATAATCCTTTCTCCTAGGATTTTGGACATGCAAGCGAGTGTACTTGGTGTGTTTTCTAAACTGCCAGGTGTGGGACTCTGCAGTCAGCCAGGTAGGATCTAGCACCCTGACCACCATGCCACCTGCTGGCCTGGGGTGGAAGTTTTTTTTTTAAATACAAGATAGACAGTGGGCTTTAGGGTCCACACAAGCTCTCCAATCATATTCTGAAGCTTAAATTGTATCTAATTTTATAGTTTATACCAGATTTTTACATAAGTGCCGTAGGTAGGCAGGAACAGATAATAGACCCACTTACAAATAGGAAATAGGCTATAAGATGGCTGTTAATAACTGACAGTGCTGGGACTTGAACCCAGGTCATCAATCCAGGGCTTATAAAATTTTCATGAGTGCATTCCACCTGGCATGATTCTGTTAATTTACTGGTTTCTTAAAAAATATAATTAGGAGCTGGCAAGTGGTGTGGTGGTGGAGGACACTGGACTCCAACATGGCCAACTGTGGTTTGAGTCCCAGACCTGGCAACTTGTTTTCTCACTTTCCCTCTCTCTCTTACTCTGTCCCTCTAAAATAAAAAAAAATAAGTAAATAAAGTTAAATAAAATAATTATTAAAATACACACACATATGTATACACACACACACACACACACACATATATATATATATATAACCAGATGGGGCTGACAGGTAGTATGGTGGTTGAGGATGCTGGGACTCCCATGTGGCCAACTGTGGTTCAGGTCCTGGACTTGGTGGCTTGCTTTCTCTCTCTCTGTCCTGTGGTCAAAATAAAGACAAATAAGTCTTTAAAAATATGTATATATAGGGATCATCAGTTGGTGTAATGACTATGTTGCTGGACTCCCATGAAGTTAACCATGGTCTGAGTCCTGGACCCAGTGGTTTAAACTCAAGCTGGGTGTGTGTATGTGTGTGTGTGGCCAAGATTCCAAGAGGCAAATGGAGGAGAAGCGATTGCAGCATGGCCATCCCCGCCTAGGGGGTGATTTCTCCCTTTCTGTCTCTCTGTCTCTGTCTTTCTGGTGATTGCATGCACCCTATAGCAAAAACCTCTCCAGGAAAAAAAAGTGCTTCTCTAACTCCTGAATCATCTGACCAAACCCTTTCACCCAGTGGGAAAATCTAGATACTGTTCTTACATATTTGAATATGTCTTTCAGATACCTAATTCTTCACTACCCATTTTATTAAACTTTAACCTTAAAAGATGATTTACTTAATTTTTTAACTATTTAATTTGCTATAGGGCACATGTGCTCACCAGAGAGAAAGTGAGAAAGCAAGTCGCTAGGTTGGGGAATTGAACTGTGGTCAGTCATGTGGGAGTCCAGCACCTTAACCACCATGCCACCTGTTAGCCCCAAGCATGAAGTGTATTTTATTGGTGGTAGAACATGCACATACACAAGAGAAACAAACACTGCAGGCAGTCTCATCATGCCTCGACCCTGGTACCCCAGCTCTTCTGGAACTTGGGTGCATGCATGTGCACGCTCAGCATGTTTTCAGGCCAACCAGGGGATCCAAACCCATAGTGAGCTATGTGACTTCCAGCACTGCAGTTTAGTGTGCCACCAGGTTGGGGTCCATTCTTGCAAGTGCCAATCTAGGGAGCTTTTCCCATAATTGGGACATGTCATTCTGGGGGTTTTGTTTACTAGTTCTTTGCCTCCAGATGTTTATATGGCTGTCTCCTTGTCATTGTGGTCTCAAATCAATTATCACTTTCATGTAGAGGCATAGCCTAATCCATTCTGAAGCATCTCCCTTTGTAGTCTCATTGGCAACACGGTTCATTTGCCTGTGCATGAAATTATATTACTGCTGTCTTGTTTATCGCCTTATCCTCTTAAGAAGGTAGACCCCATGAAAAGAGGAGACCTTTGTGTTGATTGCTATACTATCAGCTCCTAATATGATAAATCTCAATCTTGGTTGAGTGAATGAAGAAATGATTGCTGGACCTCTTAACAGCCAGACAATGGTGGCAGAAAGGCTTGCTTTTTACCTTTGCCAGCCTACCAACCAAACCTCAGCCAGGGCACCTAAGCTTTATACAGGCTGATCTTTTCTTGCTCTATCATGTCAGTATGCCTTACATCCTAACCCACTGGTATTTCAGTGTTGCAGGAAACTGCCCTGGGCCTGGCTTGGGAGGCTGGAATGTAGGGGGATGCCGAAAAACAGTTTTTTAGAGGATTTGGTAAAAGTTCAGAGGGTAACTTAGAAGAGGAAGGACTGGTTGGACAAATGACCTTTACACGTGGGCAGCTACAAGTTCTCCACTGTGCTCCCCTCCTACTGTGAACTAGAACTTTGTTGTTGTTTAGTTTTTTTTGTTTTTTAGTTTTCATTAGTTGACGAGCACTTGCTAGAGTGGGAAAGTGAGAGCATCTTCTCTGGATTTTGGGTTAGGCAGGCCCACACCCCAGGGTGCTGCAATTTCTTCTCTTTCATTGTCTTCTTGGGATCTTGGGCATGCAGGCACTTGCACCCAGCATGTGTTTCCAGCCACAGGATCGGGACTTAAATCACAGTCAACCATATGGGTGTCCAGCTACATAACTGCTATGCCATCTGCTGGTTCCAAAAACTTCATTTTTCTTCTCAATTTCCATGCCCAAAGATAATCACGTTTTGGAAAATTTTCACTATAAATTAGTTTTTTCTGTTGAAGAACCTAATAAAAATGGTGTCATACAGATTATTCTCTTGCGACCAGCAGATGGCATAATGGCTACGTTGCTGGACTCCCATGTAGTCTACCTTGGTTCGAGTCCTGGACCAGGTGGCTTAAACTCACGCGGGGCGTGTGGGTGCGCTCGTGTGCCCAAGATCCCGACAGGAGAATGAATTGCGACGTGGCCATCCACGTTGGGGGGTGATTTCTCGCTTTCTGTCTCTGTCTTTGTGGTGTGCGCATGCGCCCTATAGCAAAAAACCTTTATTAAAAAAAAATAATAATGATCTTTCATTTGGCCCTTCTCACTTACTGTACCAATATACCACAATTAATTTTCCCACCAAGGGTATTAGCAAGTCAACTCCGCCAGCCGACCTTCAGGGCTGACAGGACTTCGGTTCCTGTGGATTCCAAAGCATCCCTCTTCCTCCACTCTACTCAGCCCCATCTATGTCTCCTGCGGCTGCGAAGCCGGGCATCGCCTAAGCCCTGGGTTAGAGCCGCGGAGATGTGATAGTCACGCCCCCAGCGGACTGAATTAGTTTCGATCATTTCACGAAATTTTGAATTGAAAATCGAGTAAGTGCCCACGGAGAATTTGGTGTACCCTTAAAAATTAGCTTAAAGTATAATGATTTTATTCCTCTAGCCAGGAATGAGACTGGAAAGTCGACGCGCGGCCACAAAACGGTAATTGTGCCTTTCAGGACACCGTCCCCTTCCCGGCACCCTGCGCGCCGCTCCAGCGAACGGAACTTCCGGAAGATCTAGGAAGTAGTTTCTCTGAAAGAAGGCGAGGTTCTCTCCGCTAGCCGCGGAGTCCTTGCTGTTGTAGACCGGAACCCTGCGAAGAGCAGAGTGGTTCAGGGAGGGACGGGCTAGGGAACGGGGTCTGCAGGTCTAAGACCAGGCTCCCTCGAGACCGCGGCTTGCCCGCCGGGAAGTGGCCATTCATTCCTCGAGTGCTGCCGAGGAGCTAGGGCCACTCCGGGGACTCTGGGAGTTGGTGCCCAGGTTTGCGGATAGCCACCCTGCGCTTACCCTGCGCCGCCGCCGGCCTTCTCAGAGCGGAGGGCGTGCCGGGTCTTCCACCCAGTGGCCCAGGTGACCGCAGCCATGGCTTTGCCCCATCGGCCGGACGCCCCCGAGCTGCCTGACTTCACTATGCTCAAGAGGCTGGCTCGAGACCAGCTCATCTACCTGCTGGAGCAGGTCAGTTCCCGCCGCGCCCGGCGCCTTTACTGCATCCACAGTTCAGCGCTCACTGGGCGCAAGTGCTTTCTGGCCGAGTCTCTTTGATCTTATCATTGCCCTTGGAGCTTTCGTGGCAAATCTAAAACGGAGCACTCACTCCCAGAGGAAAATGAGAGCAGTAAGACCTTCCAGGGATATGGCCAGAGAGTTAATTAAATCGCTGTTTTTCCTATAGGCGAGTGAGAGACACTGCTATTGCCGGGCATCACTGGCGATGGAAAGATGGTTAAGACATCTTCGCGATTAGGGATCTTACACTTCGTAGGAGCCTTATGACACACAAAATGTCAGCACAGGTGTCTGTCTGGTGGTAAATGAGTGATAGGATTCCTTAAGCGTTCAGAATAGGACCAGCAGGGAACCAGCAGTTAGCGTAATGGCTATGTCGCCTGACTCCCACGTATTCGAAGTAGTTGACCGCGGTTCGCGTCCCGGACCCGGTGGCTTAAAACTCACGCCAGGCGCATGTACGTGTGTGCCCAAGATCCCAAGAGGAGAATAGAGGAGAAGGTGATTGCAGCGTGACCATCCCCCCTGGGAGGTGATTTCTCGCTTCCTGTCTCTATGTCTCTGTCTGTCTGGCGAGTGCACGCGCCCTATAGCGAAAACCTCTCCCTCCACCCCACAAAAAAAAGAATAGGGCCAGCAGATGGCGTGGTGGTTAAGCTGTTCGACTGACACATGCAGGGACAGGACCTGGCAGTTTCCTTTATCACTTTCTCTCTGCTGAACGTGAGTCCTATAGCAAATTTAAAATATAATAATAATTTAAAAATGAAATAATTATTTAAAAAGTAGTTCATAATAAGCAATCATTTCTACCCGCAGTGTGAAAAGTAAACATTTTTTTCTTTTTTCTCCCTCCCAGAGGGTGTGTGCACTTACCAGAGGTTGCGGAGTGTGTGTTGGGGGGGGGGGATTGGGGCATGTAGGCATATGGGGCCAGCATGATTTCCAAGTCACCAGATCTGGGACTTGAACTGAAGTTGACCATGTGGGAGTCCAGCACTTAACCATTATAACACCTGCTGACCCCAAGCCCAAGGTTTTTTGTTTGTTTGTTTTTGAGAGAGATTTTTGCTATAGGGTGTGGGTGCTCCCTGTAGAAACAGAAAGCAAAAAATCACCCCCTAGGGGAGATGGCCGTGCCACAATCCCTTCTCCTACATTCTCTTCTCAGGTTTTGGGCAGACACACACCCGCCCAGAGTGAGTTTTAAGTCAGGACTCAAACTGTGGTCAACTGAGTGAGAGTCTAGCAAATGTAACCATTATGCCATCTGCTAGTCCTGAGCCCCAAATTTTTAAAAATTATTTAACTTTATTTACTTATTTATTTATTTTAAATTTGACCAGAGAGGGACAGAATGAGAGAGAAAAAGAAAAAAAGTGAGAAAGCAAGCCTCCAGGTCTGGGACTTGAACCGCCCGGCCATGTGGGGGTCCAGCGCCTTTAACCACCATGCCACCTTGTGGCCCCATGAGCCCAAACTTTTTCCTTTCTTTTTTTTTTTTTTTGAGAAGTTTTTGCTATAGGGCATGTGCACTCACCCTAAAGACAGAGAGAGATAGAGAGACAGAAAGTGAGAAATCACCCTACAGGGGGGATGGCCACACCAGAATCCCTTCTCTTCCATTCTCCTCTCGGGATCTTGGGCACGCACGCACACGCCCCCGGTGTGAGTTTAAGCCACCAGGACCAGGACTTGAATCATGGCCGACTACACAGGAGTCCAGCGACATAGGCATTACGCTAACTACTAGTCCCTACCCTAGGTTACTAGGAAAATAATGCTGCTACTATAATTGTAACAAATTACTTTTTTTTTTGAGAGGTTTTGCTATAGGGCATATGCGCTTGCCAGAAAGACAGAGAGAGACAGAGAGACAGAAAGCAAGAAATCACCCCCCCAGGGGGCATGGCTGCGCCACAATCCCTTCTCCATTCTCCTCTCAGGATCTTGGGCACACACACGTGCACCTGGTGTGAATTTAAGTGACCGGGTCCGGGACTTGAACCACGGTTGACTACATGGGAGTCCAGTGACATAGCCATTATTGCAACTGCTGATCCTCAAATTACTTGTTCAGTTACTTAGTTGTTTATATGTATTTATTTATTTTTAAAGTAATTATTTATTCTACTTGACTTTATTTATTTATTTTTAAATTTGACGAGAGAGAGAGAGAGAGAGAGAGAGGGAGGGAGAGAAAGACCCTAGGTTACTAGGAAAATAATGCTGCTACTATAATTGTAACAAATTACTTTTTTTTTTGAGAGGTTTTGCTATAGGGCATATGCGCTTGCCAGAAAGACAGAGAGAGACAGAGAGACAGAAAGCAAGAAATCACCCCCCCAGGGGGCATGGCTGCGCCACAATCCCTTCTCCATTCTCCTCTCAGGATCTTGGGCACACACACGTGCACCTGGTGTGAATTTAAGTGACCGGGTCCGGGACTTGAACCACGGTTGACTACATGGGAGTCCAGTGACATAGCCATTATTGCAACTGCTGATCCTCAAATTACTTGTTCAGTTACTTAGTTGTTTATATGTATTTATTTATTTTTAAAGTAATTATTTATTCTACTTGACTTTATTTATTTATTTTTAAATTTGACGAGAGAGAGAGAGAGAGAGAGAGAGATAGAGAAAACCACCAGATCCGGAACTTGAACCATAGTTGGCTATGTGGGAGTCCATTGCCCTTGACCACCATGCCACCTGCTGGCCCCTTTATTTCTTTATTTTTAAAAATTTTGCTAGAGATCACTTGCCAGAGAGACACAAAGAGAAGGAGAAGAGAAAGCAATCTCCATGGGGAATGGTCTCACCATAATCCTTCCTCTTCTGTCTCTCATTTCAGGACTTTGGACATGTAATGTGCCCAGCATGTTTCTCATGATGCCAGCTCTGAGCCTCTTACCATGTGGTCCACCAGTGAGATCCAGTTAACTTAACTAGCTGGCCACAGACTGGCCCAAGCTGTTATTTAATGTCACTGTTCCACATGAGAATAGAAGGTCCTTAAGCATGGGTATCATGGGTTTTATTCAACACTATATCTGAGTACCTAAGCACCATGCCACCACCTGGCCTAGACTGACCTCTTAATACATTGCCATCCACATGCTACCCATTGGTCCTAATTGGGAGGAATCTTCTGATGACTTCTCCCTCCCTGTCACTAACCCTGACTTTGTTCTCTTAACCCATGAAAGAGCAGCCTCAGGAGTGATAGTTGCTGGAGTCAAGATGACAGGAACTGTGAGCGGGTGAGCGGGAAGATGGAAGTGAGGACTGCCCTGGGTTTTCTAAACTCTCCGCATTGAACTTATCTGTAATTAGAAGGGAAATGCTATTTGGAAAGCTCCTCAGTAGTTAGTTGAGGTACAGGATGCAAAGTGGGTTTTGTTTTGGTTGGCTTTGCTCAGCAGTACACCAGGGGTTGGTGGGAGGCGGAGTGGAAGAAGCGGTGAAGAAGAGGATCGATAATGCAGAGGAAGATCACAGGTGAGCAAGAGGGTTGAGTGACAAGGAGGTCACTTGAGAAAGAAGATATAATATTAATGAGAAGGCAAAAGAGGTGAATATACAAAGCAATGTCATCTGTGGATACAAACGGTAAATAATGATGCCCAGGGCTTTCCAGTTCTATTTCTGTTTCTCTAATGGGTGTCTGGATGGATTTTTTTCTGTGAGGACTTGAGTGACCCAGTATATTGTGTCATCTTCAGCTTCCTGGAAAAAAGGATCTGTTCATTGAGGCCGATCTTATGAGTCCTTTGGATCGAATTGCCAACGTCTCCATCCTGAAGGTACTGTCCCTTTTCCAGGAGAACTCATGTTCCATTTCTTCTGTGATCCGTGTTGGTTTTGATAAATCATAGAAATTACCAAAGAGTGACTACCCTCACAGGGTAAATACAGGGTAGCCGTATTGGGTAGGCAGGAGGAGATTGATGCTTTTTGTCTTGTTTTATTTTTGGCTTTCCTATTGGTGGGGCAGTTTGGTTCATTTAATTAGCATATGAGTAGGTGGCTTGTGAGAAGTCCACTGTCTTTGTATCATATCCTTTTCAAATATAGTTATATGCACTATTCTGTTGGTTTCTCTCTGTAGCAACATGAGGTTGACAAGCTGTACAAGGTGGAGAATAAGCCAGCCCTCAGTTCCAGTGAACAGTGAGTATCTGGGAGAGTCTGTCTCAGTTCCAAGCTCGAGGTGGTCCCTAAGTGCACATTCGTCTTTGTCTGTCCTTGGCTGTGCTGTTTGTGGTGTGGTTCACCCCTCTAAAGCTTTGCAATTTCATGTTCAGGTTGCTCGCAACTTAAAAATGTTAATTTTTACACTTTATCTTACTTTTAACTTGCAAATAATAATTGTATATATTTATAAGAGTTCTCTTGTATTGTTTTAAGCACTGGATTTTTTTTTTTTTTTTTTGCTAGAGAATGTGTGTGCTCTCCAAAAAGAGACAGAGGGGGAGAAAAAAGCATCCCCCCTGTGGGGAGTGGTCACACTGCCACCCCTTCATTGATCTGTCTTCTTGGAATTTGGGGCATACATGCTCATGCACCTTAAGTTTTTCGAGACACTGGGGCTGAGATTTGAACTGGGGTCTGTTGTGTGGGATCCAGCTCCCTTAACATGGCAGTGGGGCTGGCCCTATCCTTTTGATTGTTAATACACTCCATACATATGTGCATCTTCTTTTGCCCACTGGATGCTGAATTATTTGAGACAAGGACATCCTGGGTCTATCATAGGGCTGATAAATGAGTAGGGTCAATAAATCCAGCCCCTCACAGTCTATTTGTTGTATTGAGAGGTGTCTTCTGTGGCTGATGAATGAAAACTGTCTGTCCTGGCTGGGATGAGACCTGTCTGTCTGTGAAGATGGGCAATCATGAGAGAATTGGTATTGTTTCTGTTTTTCTTCTTTTTTTTTAAAGAATTACTTTATTGGGTCCAGCAGTTGGCGTAATGGTTATGTCACTGAACTTCCATGTAGTTGACCGCGGTTCGAGTCCCGAACCCTGTGGCTTAAACTCACACTGGGCATGTGTGTGTGCACAAGATCCTAAGAGGAGAATGGAGGAGAAGGGATTGTGGCATGGCCATCGCCCCTCGGGGGTGATTTCTCGCTTTCTGTCTCTCTGTCTCTCCCTGTCCTTCTGGTGAGCGCACACACCCTATAGCAAAAAAAACTCTGAAAAAAAAAAAAGAATTATTTATCCTTATTTATTTATTTTAATTTGACCAGAGAGGGAGAGAGAGAGAGAAAGGGAGAAACCATGTCACCACCAGGTCTGGGACTTGAACCACAGTTGGCCGTGTTGGAGTCCAGTGCCCTTAGCCACCACGCCACCTGCCGGCCCCTGTTTCTGTTTCTTCTGAGCTGCTCTCACAAACTTCATGACTTTTTTTCCTTTTTTTGTCTTTCTCCCATAGATTGTGCTTCTTGGTCAGACCTCGTATCAAGAATATGCGATATATTGCCAGTGAGTATGCCGTGGTACTATGTGTAACTGAGGCAAAAAAAAAAAGAGTGGGCAAGGGTTAAGAGCCTTGGCTCTGAGGAGCCTTTCATAAGAAAAGAATTGTTCAAGCTAGCCACACTTTTTATATAGTCTAACAGGTGGCCTCTGGCTTGCTGGGCTGCATTCCTCCTCTCTGTAGGTCTTGTCAATGCTGACAAATTGGCTGGCCGAACTCGAAAATACAAAGTGATCTTCAGCCCTCAGAAGGTGAGTTTGGATCCCAGTGGGAGTGGACCAGGACAGAGGGTTCAGTAGGGATAAGGGCTTACTGAGCTGCCTCCCTCAAAGCAGATTATGCATGGCTAAGCCACATACCCGAAACTGTCTTTTCATTAATGTGCCCCTCAGAATTTAGCAGAGGGTTTGTCATCAAATGCCCCCATAAAGTACTGTGTCCTTGTGAGAAGTTGCCTCTGCATAGATTGCTTTACAGGAAGATCTTCATACTTTTGAAGTAGAAGTGGTTATATGTCCCTGCTGACATAAGTTCCTGTATAGTTATGGCTCACAGTGTTATGGCTTTTCATTATCCCTATTTTCCTTTTTTTTTTTTTTTTTTTTAAGATATTTTTACTGTAGGGTGCATGCATTCACTGGAGATAGAGACAGAAAGCAAAAACTCACCCCCCGGGGGATGGCCATGCTGCCTCTGTTCTCCTCTCGGGATCTTGGGCATGCACACACATGCACCCAGCATGAGTTTTAAGTCACTGGCTCCAGGACTCAAACTGCGATCGGCTACATGGGAGTCCAGCAGTGTAACCATTACGTCATCTGCTGGTCCCATCTCTGTAGTCCTTTAATAATGATTACAGTAAGTCATTGCACAGTCATCTCCATATGTTCATCAAAGGGATGTGGCTGGGCCACCCGTGGTTATTAGAACTGTACTGCCATATATTAGAAAAGCTTTTCTTCCACAACAAGAGAACCATAGAGACCATTTTTTTCCAACCCTACTTTGAGCAGCTGAGGGAACTGACGCCAATGCTTCTGCAGGGAGTTAACACAGATAGGCTAGGTCTTTTTCCTCTTAACCTCTATTTTTTTTTGGAGAGGTTTTTGTTGGCTACAGGGCACGCGTGCTCGCCAGAAAGACAGAGGGAGACAGAGGGACAGAAAGCGAGAAATCACCCCCCAGGGGGATGGCCTTGCCACAATCCCTTCTCCTCCATTCTTCTCTCGGCATCTTGGGTATGCACACACACGTGCCCGGCGTGAGTTTAAGCCACCGGGTCCGGGACTTGAACCGTGGTCGACTCCATGGGAGTCCAGTGACTAGCCATTATACTAACTGCTGGTCCCTTAACCTTTATATTTGGAATAAATACTTTGAGACTCATCATAGTAGTCATAGTGACTCCCTTTTTTTCCGTTTTTTTTTTTTTTTTTTAAAGATTTTTTGCCACAGGGCACAAGCACTCACCAGAGAGGGACAGATAGACACAGGGAGAGAGAGGGAAAGTGAGAAACCACTTCCTAGGGTTGGGATGGCCACACTGCAATCTCTTTTCCATTCTCCAATAGGATTTTTGTTTGTTTGTTTGGTTGGTTTTTGGAGAGGTTTTTGCTATAGGGTGCGTGCGCTCGCCAGCCAGACAGAGAGAGACAGAGAGACAGAAAGCGAGAAATCACCCCCCAGGGGGGATGGCCACACTGCAGTCCCTTCTCCTCCATTCTCCTCTCGGGATCTTGGGCACGCACACACATGTGCCCGGCATGAGTTTAAGCCACTGGGTCCGGGACTCGAACCACGGTCGACTATGTGGGAGTCCAGCAACGTAGCCATTACTCTAACTGCTGGTCCCTCCAATGGGATTTTGGACATACATGCACACGTACCTGGGGATTTTTCTAGCTATCAGGTCCTGGCCTTGAACCATAGAGTCAGCCATGTGGGATCCAGAGCTTTAACCACCATACCACATGCTGGCTCATAGCTCCTTTTCTTGATACCACTAAGTTCCTCTCTACCCGTCACCAGCTAGGTACATCATAGCTATTTCCTCAGTCTCACCACTTAGGCTGGCTTAAGAAACTGTCCAGTTTGAATACAAACCAACCTATGTTAATTGTGATTAAAGTGGCTGGACCCCACATGACTGACTCTGTAGTTCGAGTCCCAGACCTGGCAGCTTGAAAATCATACTGGGAGTGTGTGCGTCCATGCCCAAAGTCCCACAAGGAGAATGGAGGAGAAGGGGTTATGGTGCGGCCATCCTTTACTTTCTCTCTTTCTGTGTCTCTCTCCAGTGAGTTCATGGACCCTATGACAAATTAAAAAAAAAAAAAAAAATTGCCATTGACTCCCAAGGCCATATCTCTGCCCCTTTCACTGTCTCCAGAGACCCTGTGGGCACATTGTAAACTGAACTCACTCACTTCTTATCACTGCTCTTTTTTGTTTTAAGTTTCTTTCTTTCTTTTTTTTTAAATTTTTTTGGAGAGGTTTTTGCTATAGGGCGTGTGCACTCGCTAGAAAGACAGACAGAGAGACAGAAAGCGAAAAATCACCCTCCAGGGAGGATGGCCACGCCGCAATCTCTTCTCCTCCATTCTCCTCTTGGGATCTTGGGCACACACGCACATGTGCCTGGCGTGAGTTTAAGCCACAGGTCCGGGACTTGAACTGTGGTCAACCACATGGAAGTCCAGCGACATAGCCATTATGCCAACTGCTGGACCCTTAAGTTTCTTTCTTTCATAAAGAATACAGAGGGACACACACCCCAACAAGGTCCTCACTCTGAACCATACCCAGCTTCCCTCCTATAGGATACCTAGGATAGGAACTCAGGACCTTCCCATGTAGGTTCAGTTGTGTTACCACTTTGTAACTGTCTGGCCCAGTGAGTACTGCACTTTACCTCCTACCTGCTCCTCCGTGATTTTTAAAGCAGTTCTGTGCACTTCTATCTCTGCCAGAGTTACTCACCCTTCAAAGATGGCAGACATACTTTCTCCTTTGTAACATTTTTCGAGTCTCCTGCAATCAACTTGGGGCTAGCAAGTGGCATGGTGATTAAGGTGCTGGACTCCCACAAGGCTGAATGCAGTTTGAGTCCCAGTCATGGTGGCTTACTTTTTCACTTTCCCTCTCTTCCTATCTCTTTCTGGTCAAGTCAAAAATTAAAAAATAATATTAATAAATAAAATTAAATAAACAATTCTTTTTTAAAAAAAGCAATTCACTAATATATAAATGCAATGGGTAAAAAAAGAAACAAAGGGCCAGCATGGCATCCTGGATCTCACGTGGCGAGTACATGATTAAGAGTCCCAGACCCAGCGGCCTGAAAAACACACTGAGCATGTGCATGTGTGTGCCTAAAATCCCAAGAAGAGAATGGAGGAGGGATTGAGGTGTGGCCTTTCCCTTTGGGGGATGATTCCTCACTTTTCGTCTCATTCTTTTTCTCTCTGTGGTAAGGGCATGCAGCCTATAGGAAAACTGATAATAATAAGTGAAGTGCTGGGCTAGATGTTCTTTCTAGCTCTAAGAGTTTGGGTTCTTAATCCTTTTTCACTGAGTTCAGTATTATTGATCTCATTAGTTATTCTTGTAGAGGAACTTCAGAGAAATTGGAAGGAATAGAGAAGAAAGTGGTTACTAACCAACTCCTTCTTCTCTTTCAGTTTTATGCATGTGAAATGGTGCTTGAGGAAGAGGGAATCTATGGAGGTGAGAGGAGATGAATGTGAGTGGAAAGGGAGAGCAAATATATGGGGAAAAGAAAACAAACATTGTTGTTTCCCATCCCCAATTCCTTCTCCTGGTCTTACTAAGGTTGGTCTAGTGGGAGGAAAGGTACTTGAGAATGGGAATGGGAGCAGGACTCCAAATGACAGCACTGAAGGGGTGCCCTGAGGCTTATAACTTCCTTATTCTCACCTCCTAAGACTCCCGCATTGAAAAAACTGGGTCTCCCCTCTGCATTTCACTCCATTCCTTGTGCAACCAAACCTGATGATGGTACTCCCTACTGACAATCCTGCAGTAGCTCAGTAGAAAGGCCAGAACCCTTACTAGGACGTCCTGCACTTTGTACAAGTCTGGCTTTTCCCGTTCCCTGAGCTTCATTGTGTGCTGCTCCTTTCTCCTGCCCTCCAGCCACAGGAACTTTGTCCGTACTTTCCCTGCTGCCTAAAATATTCTCCACCCTACAGCTCTTTGCCTCTCCAGATCTTACTCAAATTCTAAGCCTCACTGTCACTTCTTGAGGGAAGTCTTCCCCATGCCTCTAGTTGCAGTTAGATTCCTGTACTATGGGATGTCAGAAAAGTCATGAAGTGTTTTTTCATGTTTTTCTATGCAAGAATGGGTCATGACTTTTCTTTTTTTTTAGAATTATTTTATTTAACTTTATTTATTATTATTATCATTATTATTTTCCAGTTTGATCAGAGAGACACACAAAGAGAGAGAGAGAGATGAAGTGAGAAAGCAAGCCACCAGGTCTGAGTCTTGAACCATGGTCGGCCATGTGGGAGTCCAGCGCCTTTAACCACCATGCCACTTGATGGCCCCTGGGTCATGACTTTTCTAATGACCCAATATTAGTGTTTGCAGCTTGCTGTTTTACTTCTTGAAAGTACGACTGTGGCTACACAGAATATGTTATAATATGACTGGTGCGCCTCTCCCCCAACTAGATCGTAAGCTTCAGAAGGCGGAGAGCATGTCCATTTTGCTCACCACCGTATCCCCAGTGCTTAGCATCATCCCACATATTCGCAGCTCTTAGTATTGGGTCTTCAGAAAAGTCATGACCCGTTTTTTCATAGAAGAACATTGAAAAGATTTGTCATGACTTTTCCTATGACCCAGGAAATATTTGCTGAATAATGAATCAGTCAGTAAATGTTTCTCAACCTCCTTTGTCAGCCCTCTAGTAAAAGCATCATGAATCACATTGTTTTAAAGACGGCTGTGGGGCCAGCATGTGGTGTGGTGGTTAAAGGCTCTGGACTCCCACATGGCTGACCATGGTTTGAGTCCCGGATCTGGTGGCTCACTTTCTCACTTCCTCTCTCTGTCTCTGTCTCTGATAAGTGCATGTATCGTGTAGCAAATTAAAAAACAATAATAATTATAAATTTAAGTAAATAATTCTTGGGGGGGGGGGACAGACTGCTGCTTCCATGTCTCCTTAAGGGCAGGGGCTGTTAGTCTCCTTGGAGTCCCCAGTGCAGGACACCATTCCTGGCATGGGGCAAGTGCTCAGTTATTTGTTGTATGGCTGCAGTCGTCCTTCCCACTTCACATGGAGCAAAGTACTCTGCAAAGGGGCCGATCAGTCTCTCTCTGCAGATGTGAGCTGTGATGAATGGGCCTTCTCTTTGCTGCCTCTTGACGTGGATCTGCTAAGCATGGAACTGCCAGAATTTTTCAGGGACTACTTTCTGGTAAATGCAGAACTCTGGAGTCTTGGTGTCAAAAGATGGGAAAAAACATGTGACCCAGTGGGCTGGAAATACTCATTTAACCTTTGACTATTCATATCATTGATCACAGGGAGAGGGATGGAGGACTACAAACTGATCTCTGTGAGACTTTCTTTGAGATCAGTCAAAATGAACTTCTCCAAGCAGTCCATAAACCCTGCTGTCCGACTCCAGGACTTCCAGGGCTGTCCACTTGTTATAGTTTGAATATGCCTCCCTCCACACCCCCCCATGTGCTAACCCATTGTAATGGGATTAAGAGAGTGAAAACTTGATCCAATTATAGCGCCTAGAATCGAGGCTTTAGGGAAGAGATTAGTAATTGAGTGGTAGGGCCCCTCCCCCATGGAGTTCTGGTAAATTTATAAGGAGAGAAAGAAGCCCACATGTATACAGACCATGTTCTGCTCGAAGTTGTACCCTCTGCCCTCTTGTGGTCCCTTTGACCTTTCCAGCAACCAGATTGTGTCATGGAAACCACTATCTTTAGAAACTACCCAGCATTGGTTATTTTTGGCAGCAGTACAATAGTGGACTAAGACATCAACCTCCAGGTGCGCCTGGCAGGGTGATCCATGTTTTTGCAACCCACGTGACTCCCATAGGAAGGAGACCAGCGCTGGATCAACACAGTAGCTCAAGCCCTGCACCTTCTCAGCACTCTCTATGGACCCTTTCCCAACTGCTATGGAATCGGCAGATGTGCCAAGGTGAGCGCACCAGTGGTGCTGTAGTCCCGACAGCCCTTCTTTCTTCTCTCCGTTCTGTACCCCCAAAGGATTGGTTACCCATAGGACTCTGAGATGACATCTCTCTTTCTTTTTTTAAAAATAATTATTTCCTTTATCTATCATTATTGTTATTTTTAATTTGACGAGAGCAAGACAGAGAGAGAGAGAGTGAGAAAGCAGACCTTGAACTATGGACAGTCATGTGGGAGTCCAGCACCTTCAACCACCATGCCACCTGCTAGCTCCATATACTTTCTTTTTTTTTTTTTTTTCGGGGGCGC